GCCTTTGTTTTTCGAATGTCTTCTTTATCTTTGGCTTCATTTACACCTTACCAGTCTCTGAGCCTGTAATGTGCTTGTTATTATGAGCATTCTTGTAGATGCTCATTTTATATATTATTTATTGGCTTCTCCCTATAGAGTTGACTCAACCTTTATCCATCAGGGTTTTTTTTGTGGTTGTGCTAATTGCTTGGTTATCCACTGAGTGATGCCTTTGCAATGGCAAACAATCATTTTCCTACACTTTACTGGTCTTTACTTCCAAAACCATCTCCTCTAACAGTGGATGCTTGAAGTCAGTCTTGGTAGAATATTTTTCTCAGTGCCTACCCTCCTCCTCTTGTTTGTTCTTGAATAGTGACCAGTTTAAGTTTCTCAAAATGTGAAGCCCTCCTTATTGCTTCACCTTAACCAGTTCAACCATGCGTACACCTGTTGTGTTATATGTCTCAAGTGAATCTAATTCTGTAGCCTCTTTGGAGTCATCTTATATGCCAGCCTCAAACTTCCATCTTTCATAATGAAGTTCATCATGTAAAGCTTCATGTCTATTACTGATGTTTTTATTAGAGAAGCTGGATTCTCTTTTCAAGAAGCTTGAATATTATCACATTCTTGCTGATATTCATCTCTGCTGTTTACCAGTTTTGCTGAGGTATATTCAGGAACTTTATTATTTCCTAGATGTTGTTTTTTGCAATTTTTCAAATGTAGAATTTTTGCCTCATTCTTCATACTCTTATTTTATGGGTTATTTCATTTCTTCTATTGAAGGCTACAGTGCTTACTTCTCTGCACAAATAACATAAAAGTATCTTCTTTTGGTGCACTTTCACCCTTAGGATTAAAGGGGAAAAAATTTATTTTTGCAACTTCTATGCAAATCTAATCAATGTCATGGCGAATATCAACTTCTAAGTTCCTTATGATGTTAATGTTTGTTATAAAGAAGCATGTTATTGTAATTTATAATAAAATGTAAATTAGATATTGTTATGATACAACTTGGATTGTGTAAATTCACTGTAAAAATGTGATCTGGACAAATTCTAAATTGTATTTATATCTTATTGCAGTGGTTCCCAAATTTTTTTCACTGACAACACTAACCCAATTCCTTGATTTGATTGACACATGAGCTGCCACGTGCATTGTTTTTTTTGTAGCTATTTATTTTTTATGTTTCTTAATTATTCTTTGTTTGGTGAAGTCTTATGACAACCCAAGCAACTTGCCATGACATATGTTTTGGAAACTATTGTGTTACTGTATTTCTACCTTAACCTAAATATTGTTTAATGAATTTAACTCAA